CGTTTTTCTAAGAACTGGGTGCTATGTACTGTGCGAAATCAATCGATCTTGCAAGAATAAATTTTTGGACATCCCTCTTCTAAGAATTCCAATTGAGTGTGTTAGTGTGGCCAGCTCAGGGCAATATGATATTATAAACACAGCACATATCAGGTCTCTGCTGTTTATAACTTCATATGAAAGAAAACATGCCAGTCATAACAGTTTCAACGAGGAAACCCAAACCCAAACCCNCGCTCGCAAGAGCAACAGGAACTTTGCTGCAAGACAGGCATATGTAACGATGACTTAGCGCAGATAAAGTCGTGTCTCATTATAGATAGTCCTTGTGACAACAGGCCAGCGAAAAATCTAACAATCTACAGCAAAACCATCAATTATTATGGGCGTTATAACATAGGTGTGCAGCTGGACAAAACATAGACGTCGAACCCCCCCAGACGATTTAAATACCTGACGAAACATACACGTCAAACCACGCTGAACGGTTAATTATGACACTGCTGCGGGTTTACACAATTTACAAACCCTACACACTATTCTCTTCACAGTCTTTCTTCGGTGGTCTTCACATATTTATATCGCTGGAACTATACAAGTCTCTGTGAATTACACGCTCCCAATATAACTGTACTACACAGCACACACAAAGTCTTGCAAGTCACACAATAAGCCTTCACTGGCGTACTTCTCAGTTATTGCACAATATCACACTTTATCACATCAAATCTTCTAACCACACATTCGGATCTTCTTCCTGTGACTGCTGCTATATTTCAACTGAACTGCTTAGGCTTTGCAGTTCTCTTATAAACCCTCAGCCAGACAGCGGAAAACGCACCTTGCTTCCCTGTTGCGTATTCGTCCTGTTTACAGACATTCCTGGGCAACACTGTCGAGAGTTGTTTACTGTTGTGTAGTAACCATGGTATCCCTTGTTACTTCACTGCAGCAGTGGTTGCCTGACACAGTTGCTCTTCTGTTACGTCACCATGGGGGAGGGGGTGTTTACTGAGCGTTGCATACTGATGGAAGGAGTGGGGGTATGTGACATCACTCGCGACACCGCAGAGTTCACATGATCCCTTCTTCCTGTTCCGTCATCCACGTCACAATACATATTCTGGGTGCTTATTAACTGTAACACATGCTAAGATTAAGAAACGTCAGCTATCTGGGACAACCAAAGAGTCAGCACTAATGAAACTGCATCAGAAATGAGGAAATGGAACTGTACCTTAAAACAGGGCATTACTAACTGCCTCCTGTGACATCCTTCCTAGTTCATTATTTACAATCATTCTGTCATCCCATAAATGTTGTACGGTTGGCAGTACATTTGTGGGATTGTTGCTGTTGAAGAGACAGCCACTTATTAAACTTCTACATAAATATTTATTGTCATTATACAGAACATACGGACGAATTTCAGTCTGAAGATTTGAAGGTTGCATGTTGCTGGTAGCAAGTTGCTGATAGGCTCTTCCCAGTTGGGCTTTTTCTGGATCAGCTCTGTCCTTTTATAGTTTCGTTCTGACCGTGTAGCACACGTTATTGCGTTGTTCTGAACTGTTTCCATGGATACCTTGATTTATTGCATAGCAGTGTTTCCTAGTGATGATTGCAATTGTTGCTGCAACACTTGATTTAAAGTGGATGGTTTCCACACATTGTTAAATAAATTACATGATTCTGACCTGGATCTGCCCGCTAGACAGATGGTTGTGTGAGATTTTCTTATATATATTCTTTCACTGTGTAACTGTAACTGCAAGAGTAATCAGAGATATATTAATTTGGAAGGAAATTGGTGCTCACCAAAATCTGCAGCCTTAAAATTAATTTTAATATTATCATCCTATCTGACTGTCTGTATATGCTCTAACATTTATTGAACATTTTTGTAGTTGCATTAAGAATTTGATAAATTCCCTTCCTTCATCTTTGCGTTAGGTAATTCCACTTGAATTCCCTGATCGCATTTCAACACCATCACCACCGCCATCACCAGTGCAGACAAGGATAGGGTCATGCCGAGTTGGCAAAGCCCCCCCACCGCCTAGAAGAGGTCATGGTGGCATCCAGTGCAACCGTCTACATGCAGAGCCATCCCTCACAACAATAACAGAGGAAGCGAATTCGTGGCACTCAACACACGAGATTGTCGTACAGCCAGAGCTTGTGGTAGAGACCACTACGTATAGCACTCCACAGGTGAGCGTTTCATGTGCATTCTCATATGGGGAAGAAAAGCTCTGCATTCTAACTTAGCACAAAATGCAGATAAATAGCGAATGTCATAATCTGGCTGCTTTGTGGTTGGGTAAAGTCTGCAGAACCATTTTGATGGGAAACTGACTGGGCCCAAGGTCTTGAGTGTGTCTCACCAGTATGCCACATGCAGTAAATCCTGATTGGTAGTTGATGTATTTTTATCAAAATTCTCACTGACAATCTGTAGTAATTTCATTTATATCCAGACATCACCTTGTGAGAAAAGTGTAGGATCAAACTGTCTATGGAGTTCATAAGCGTAATATTTCTTGATAATTGCCAGTCAGTTTTATCATACTTTTTATAAATATGTAGAATATTAGACTCTTTGCATGTGGCAGTAGTTCTTCCTTACTTGAAACTTTAAGTAGTAATTTTATCACTACCTGGGTATTTATACTTTTTCAACTTTCCAGTATAGCATCACAGCCACAGAACTAGTACTGATGGTTCAGCTGTATCTGTTTCAATCTGCCCAGCATCTTTAACCCCTGTAAATATCCAATAGATGAGAGATATCTTATCTTCCACCTATAGAAAATGTTGTGGGAATCTGCATGCAGGTCAACTTTCCCATCTTCGTGAAGGTAGTTCTAGGTTGGCTACCCTCTTTAAATTTATGCCTCTATATGATATCTTTTGTTATAGTTCAAGCCCATTTTGTCTTTCAGATACTCCTTCTTTTTATTCCTGAAATGTTTTCTAGCTCCATGTTTTACAGTGTTCAGATTATTTCCATTTTTATGGCCCACACTCCATAGCCATTACAGTTTAGCTTGCTAGCACTAACCAGATAATTTTGAACATTCTTCTTCAAACCAGGATTTATGCTGTTACAATTTGTAATTATCTAGACTGTCTTGGGCTAAGTTTTGATATTCTCTCTAATACTTACCCAAGGCTTATTGTATGTCAACATTAGCATCAAAGGTTTCCACAGCTGCAAACACGATTACAGTTTTAACAACAGTTTCTTTAAATGCCATACAGCTTCCTAAGATTAAATCTCCTCACATCAAACTTTACATTTCTCATTTATTTAGTGACAAGTCCTTCCATAATTTTTTCAACCATTACACAGTGGTCAGTCATCTTCTCTAAATAACTGGACATCACCAAGGCCAAGACCCTACATAAAATTTCATAACATGCTGATATTTTATGATGCCCAACTCCCAAGCTGGAACACCATCACTTGTCAGCTGTCTGTGACTGCTACCTTCTGCCTGAGACTGCCTCCTGAATGTGCAGTCTGAGGATCTGCCATCCTGTTACAAGGGTCCATTTATGCGGAGTCAGTTTACTGAACGAGCTGTCACAGATCTTTTATCCTTTCATTCAGTACTTTGGTCATGCGAGCCCCGCAAATATATTAGGAAAACATAGTGATTAGTTTCTCAGTCAGAACTCTGTATACTAGGTGGTTCAAATATGAGCGGGACTGATTTTTTTGTAAACAAGCCGCACTGTGCAGCAGCTGTGCGACCTTGAGAGATTGTAGCCACAACCTCCACTCTCCCTCCTGTTAGGGTTAGAACCTGTTCAGTGCTGTCTGGGAGTTGCTAGAGGGATGCGTGTACAGAAGGTAC